AGAGAACGAGTGGGGGGTTTCCCCCCCCCCCCCCCCGGGCTTACACAGAAAACCAGCCCGGAATCGAGCCTCTCCAATCGAAAGGACTACTAGAGGATTAAAGGAGGAGTCGAGGTTGCGGCGGAGCCGGAGCTGTTTCTGCTGCTGCAAGAGGAGCAGCAGGTGCAGCTGGGGTGCTCCCCCCCGATTTCCCCATGCCCCACCAGCCAGAGTTTTCTGGCTACACCCCTGGTGCAGAAGGACTCTAGTCCGATCCCGGCATCTCCAGTAAAAAAGATCTCACGGCCTTGCCAGAGACCTCAGAAAGCTGCTGCCTGGGACCAAGCCGGGCAGCTTCCAATGACCCTCTCTGAGCTAAGCCTCTTCAATCACCTTTTCTCGCTGATTACGCCGGCTAAATAAGAGTTGCCCTGACCTGGATAGCCCAGCCTAGCCCGAGGCCGTCAGATCTCGGAAGCCAAGCAGAGTCGGCCTCGGCTAGTATTTGGAAGGGCGACCTCCAAGGAATACCAGGGTCGTGACGCAGTGGCAGGCAACGGCAAGCCGCCTCTGAAACGTCTCTTGCCTCAAAAACAAGTCTAGCTGGCGCCACCCAGTGGTGCATGACGCTAAAAGAGCTAGAACTGCTGGCCGCCAGACAATCTTAGGATCTCCTGGCTATTCTACACACAATACCATACGATAATTAATTAATTAAACGGAGAGTTGACACGCTCTTCAACTGTCGGTAAACTTTGTTGGCTCAAGAGTAAGGCAGAGATGTTCCGACAGGCTTTTGGTTGATGACGGCGACGGTTTCCCATCACCCTCTTTTCTTCCATTCTGCCTGCCTGCTCAGCTTCAGACCAATGTGGCTCCCCTCAGAAACAAATATTTGGAAACCTTTCAGAGATGCTCATGTATAGCTACTAGTCATGGTGGCTGAGGGGAACCTCCACATTCAGAGGCACTAAATCTCTGAATCCCAGAGCCGGGGGCAATATCAGGCAAAGGCTTCGGCTTCTCTGCCCTGTTGTTGGCCCTTCAGAGGAACCAGTTGGCCACTGTGTGAGACAGGATGCTGGACTAGATGGACCCTCACTGGCTCGATCCAGCAGGGCTCTTCTTAGGTTCTTATCAGGGGAAGACCTCGGCCTCTCTGCCCTGTTGTTGGCCCTCCAGAGGAACCGGTTGGCCACTGTGTGAGACAGGATGCTGGACTAGATGGACCCTCACTGGCTCGATCCAGCAGGGCTCTTCTTAGGTTCTTATCAGGGGAAGACCTCGGCCTCTCTGCCCTGTTGTTGGCCCTCCAGAGGAACCGGTTGGCCACTGTGTGAGACAGGATGCTGGACTAGATGGACCCTCACTGGCTCGATCCAGCAGGGCTCTTCTTAGGTTCTTATCAGGGGAAGACCTCGGCCTCTCTGCCCTGTTGTTGGCCCTCCAGAGGAACCGGTTGGCCACTGTGTGAGACAGGATGCTGGACTAGATGGACCCTCACTGGCTCGATCCAGCAGGGCTCTTCTTAGGTTCTTATCAGGGGAAGACCTCGGCCTCTCTGCCCTGTTGTTGGCCCTCCAGAGGAACCGGTTGGCCACTGTGTGAGACAGGATTGGACCCTCACTGGTCTGATCCAGCAGGGCTCTTCTGACGTTCTCACAGACTTGTCCCCATTGCTGTCATATTTTCTAATTCTTTTCTGATTGGAGGTTGCCGTTAAAAATAAAATTAAGAATTATAAAAAGCAAGAACCCGCGGTCCCAGCCTCCGGCGAAAGTCCTGTGCTCGAGTCCCGCTCGCTCACACTCGGCCCCAGCCGCACGGGACGGAGCTCTTCCCCTCCCCTCCCTGCGACCCACATTCAGGGGGGGGGGGGGGGGCTCACCTGCATAGGCACTGAGGCACTTGCACAAGACGCTGAGGGGCAGGAGGGGGTCGAGGAGGGTCAGGAGGCGGGAGGGGGAGGCCAGGGCCTGCATGAGGGTGACCGGATAGGCCGCCATGATCCCGTCCGGCATCTTGATCCCGAAGGCGGCCGCTCGCATGGAGACCGTGATGCACAGGTTCCCGCCGGCGCTGTCTCCCGCCAGGCACACCCTCTCTGCCGTGGAGCCTGCAGATACACACACATTATTACTGCACATACTACAGGGGTCATGTCGTAGAAAAAGAGCTGCAGGCGCTCATTAGCACAACTCATTTGCATAGGCCACACACCCTGACATCAGAAGGCAACACCCACCGCTCAGGCTCCAGTGGACTTTGGATTGCTAGCTATCGGGGGGGGGGGGAAGGGGGAGATAGATCTGCCCTCACAGAGGAGGGAGAGCTTATACCTGAATAAAACCTGGTCTTAAAGGTGCCACTGGACTGTTTTGCATTGCTAGCTATCAGGGGGGCGGGGACATGTAGATCTGCCCTCACAGAGGAGGGAGAGCTTATACCTGAATAAAACCTGGTCTTAAAGGTGCCACTGGACTGTTTTGCATTGCTAGCTATCAGGGGGGCGGGGACATGTAGATCTGCCCTCACAGAGG